GAGTTCTTTATCTCCTCTAGTAATCTTTTAATCTCCTGCATTTCTTTTTCTTTTCCTTTCTTAAGTTCTCAGTTTCATTCTTCAGTTTACTGATCATTTGTCTCAAATCATTTTTTTTCCTTGTCGTTTTCTTTCTGCTTTTAATCATGATGATCATTAAATAAATCTCTGATAGGCCAAGAAGTTCTTGCATGTCATTGTTAAGCTCTGGTAACTGTATTTCTGCTTGTGGTGCCCTTCTCCTGCGGGCTTTGCTTTTATATTTTTTCTTCTCCCTGGTGTTGCTCTAATTAGTTCTATACATTGGGATGTTGTGCCACTGGCGTTGGCGGGCATCTCTTTGGAGTGCTCCTTTAGGGGTGTCAGAAACTGTTTCCCTGACTGAGACCAGCACTGGTAGGCCAAAACTCCACCAGGGTGATGATGCTCAGTTGCTCGGCACTGTCCCTTACAGTTCCCTTCCTCTGTATTTACTCAGTTCCAAACAGCTAACTGATTTTGTTCTGGTCACGAGGTGGTGCCAAAGACCCGTACTTGCTGACCTGTGCTCTTTCCCAGTGGTTCTCTGAGAAACAGAGTGGAGCACCTCCACACAGGGCCTATTGCTCATGCTGGGTGCTGTGCCTTCCACTTTTTGACCTGGTGCTGTACCTGCAGCTGTATGGATCCCATACCCTGAATTCTGCATCTAGGTCTAGTTCCAGGGCTATCAGATCCAAAATGCTGGGTGCCCTGTGCAGTGCCCGCTGCTATGGCTCATCCCACGCCCCCCATCCTGTACCTGGCTTCAGTTCCAGAATGGGGTCTTGCTCCATGCCTTATTTCCCTCCTCACCCCCATTTGCGTGGCCCACCCTCGCTCAGAGCCTGAGGGTGTTTTTGGGATGCCTTGTTTCCAACTATCAGGATGTTGGTAATTTTGTTCTGGTCGCTAGAGATCTTTCCTAGTGACCTTCCAGAACTGTTTTTTTCCTCACGTGGGTCTGGGGGAACAGAGTGGGGGTAGTGTGGAGCACCTCAATGGTGTGGGGTGCTGTGTTCCTTGGCCCCACTGTCGTGGGGATCCCACACCCCGAATGTCATGCCCGGGTCTCAGTTCCGAAGCTCTCGGATACAGTTCACGGGCTGTAGCCCAGTTCAGTGTCCACAGAAAGGGTGCCTTTTGCACCTTGATGCCATGTCCAGGCGCCTGGTTTCTGATTACTCACTGCGGACATTCTCCTCAGTGAGGGCTCCCATGCATCTCCCCCCAAAACCTATTTCGCAGGCACGGGAGACCTGGGCTGCTGCAATCCACATATGCTTTTCGAGGGCATCGCTTTTCCGCACAAGCTTATCGACTGGCCCTGGGCTATTTGCAGGTCTATCAGAAGAGTCCTTGTTTTCCTCTAATGGCGCCCAGAGCCATTTGCTCACCTCCATGGCAGTTCCCACACGGTTCTCCACAGTTCCCATTTGCGGTGTGTGGTGCCTGCAATGGTTCCTTTCCATTCACATTCCCACTAGATGTATAGTTTGTTCTTGTTTTTTTCTTTCTGTTGGTTAGAGTGTACCAGTGTTATGGGTGGGGGAGGGAAGCAGGGTTCTGAGCTTCCTCTCTTTTCGTCCTCTTTTATGGCAATTTTCCTCTTAGGGTTGTTTGTCAGACTCACCAGTTTATCTTCTGTGTCCTGGTTTTTGCAGGGACCTGCCCCTTTTCCTCCCTATTAACGTTTTGTTTCATGGGAGGACTTACTCATAGTGTTCCCCGCCACCATGTTGATCCCTTTCACTATTTCCACTCTTTTTTGCTTTTTCTTTTTTTTCCTACACCTATGGCCTATACCATAGCTCTTGTATGCATAAATAAATGACTCTTTAAAAAACAGAAATCCCTAGTTCAATTTTTTTTGTTATTTTTATTTTATTTTGTATAATTTTTACATCTTTTTTCATCTTTGAACCTTGTATGCATTTTCATTTTGGTTATATTCCCCATACAATTGCACTCCCCCTTATTTTGACTCTAGTCCTTCCTTTCCCGCCCCTTCCTCCCTACTCCCCCAGTATGGAAACAACCCAAATGCCCAAAAATGGATGACTGGATCAAGAAGATGTGGTACATATACACAATGAAATATTACTCAGCAGTCAAAAAGGATAAACATATGCAGTTTGCAGCAACATGGATGGACCTAGAAGGGATCATGCTCAGTGAAATAAGTCAGAAAGAAAAAGGAAAATACTGGATGGTCTCACTCATAGCAGGAATTTAGAAAACCTAAATAAGGGACCAGGAAAAAGACTAATCAACACAAAGTAGAAATCAAAATCAACAAGCAGCTATATACCAGAGTCACTATTTCCATTCTTAACTACAATTGAAGAACAGAAGAGGTAAAGACCTTGCTGAAATATGAAGGGAAGATGAAAGTTAGAAATGAGAAACCCCAGTGGAAAGCAAACTTTTTGAAAACAGTGACTGATGTGGGGAATGACTTCATCTTTTTATTACACATTTGATGTTTAACTCAAGTTTTCTTTGTCATGAAAATCTCATTACATAGTTCAGCTCACTTCTTCCATGTCTTTCCATCAAGAGACTCTTTCTTGTCCAATAAGTATGAGTGCAAGGTAGTTTACTGAGATTTCTCTTCCCACCAGGAAGTTGATCTTCCTAAAAGAAAGATCTTGATTTTATCCTTTCCCATTCTAGTCTTACACTATTATTAGTGAATTTCCATGACATTGGAGCCATAGGAAGAGTCCATTCATAATAATTCAGAAGGCATTGTCACAAATTCTTTAAAATATATGTGCCAGGCTATCAACCAATATTTGTTTTTTTTTTTTTTTTTTTTGGTCAGGTATACATTGCGGTGAAGACTATGAACTGTTCTTATTTGTGTTATTATTATAGTTTCTTCTTAATAGCAGTAACACTTGTTCATTTTAAAAGTTAGGGAATGTGAAAGTCATCCACATGTCATCCCCTCAGAAACACATAGCTAGCCCTAAGATGAATAGGAAACTTAGATAACATTTATATGTACTTGTTAATATCATTTAAACCTTTATTTTCGGGCTTCTTTGGTGTCACAGGGGTTAAAGTCTCAACACTATCAAGCTATCACTAGCTACTACAGCATGAGTTCTATCCCTGGCCAGGGATCTCACTTAAGTCCATGAGAATCTACTCAGAGTATTCTATTAACTGTATTCTACTCAGAGTGTTGGAAGAAAATCATAGCGTAATAGGAGTGTTGATGATGCCAGGAATACAGTTGATGAATGAAAATCAGCTACATGGAGTTTTTTAAATGTTTTAAATTTATTTATTTTTAATCAAGTTAATTTGGATACCCCATCACATATTACCAGCATAGCGCGCCCACTACCCCATCACTCGGCGTCCACTACCATAGTCCATTGTGCTCCCTTCCCACTTTGTTCTTTCCCCAGCCTCTCCACTTTCTGGCTGCTGTAGTTCTTTACTCAGCTTTAAATAGTTTTTAAGATTGTCGTTATCTGACTTTTAGTTTAGTTACTCTGTATCCCACAAAATAGTTACACCGTTCAGTATTTATTTTTCTCCTTCTGACTTTTTTCACTTAGCATTATCCCTTCCATCCCTGTTGACGCTAATGGCATGAGTTTATCTTCTTCGATCACTGGGTACTATTCCTTTGTGTATATATACAGCACATTGTTTGATAGATTCATCTGTTTGGGGCCATGTAGGTTTTTCTCCATAATTTAGCTTATAGTAATTAGTGCCGCAGTAAACAGTGGAATGCAAGTTTCCTTTTGAATGAATATATTTGGATTTTGGAGGTAGATGCCTAGGAGTGGAATTACTGGGTTGAAAGGCAGATAATATTTTTAATGTTTTGAGATACCTCCATGCTGCTTTCCATATAGGTTGAACCAGTTTGTGTTCTCACCAGTGGCATAGGTGGGTTCCTTTTCCTCACAATCTAGGCAGTACTTAGTTTTTAAATTTTTATGCCTGATCTTCGCTATGTGGGTCCTTCTCACTGGTGTGAACCGGTATGTCATTGTGGTTTTGATTTGTATTTCCCTGAAAATAAGTGATTGTAACATTAATTCATATGTCTGTCTACAGTCTGCTTGTCTTTGAAGAATTGTCTGTTTAGTTCTTCTGCCTATATTTTTGAAGAAGTTATTTGTTTTGTTTTGTTTTCAGATTTATATGAGTTCTTTGTGGATCTTTGATAGCAGTCCCCTGTCTGATGTATGGTGTGCCAATATCCTCTCCCATTCCTGCCCTTTTAGGGATGCCCAGCTTAGGGCCAGTGGTGTCATTCAGCATTGATGCTGGATGCAGAGTGAGAAGTCAGGTCAGTGAAGTAGTGGAGCAGGAGGACAGGGACTAATGTTGCAGCTCTACAAAGGTCTCCACGGGAGAGTGTCTGGGTGAGTGTGACTGACTGGAAACTGGCTGGAACCTGACTTATATGCTCTTCAGGATGCCTGCCATTCAAACCTGAATGGCGCTCCATGGGCGCTCCAATAAGACTGGGCAGTTTACCATCCCAGTTATGTGACCAATGTCAGTTGAATTTCCCCAGTGTGTGCAGCCTGACCTGGACTGAGGTTGGGCTTCATAAAGAGCACAAGGCGCCAAGGGTGGGGAGGCACCCATCCCACATGGTGGGTGTAAGTTGAGCTCTCGTCAGTTGGTCCATTTTCAATCTGATGCTGGATGTTTTCCCTCTCAAGCTGGCTGTTTCAAAACTGAAACTGTACAAGTGTGTCCATCTTGACCGATAATGAACTTGGGCTTCTGAATTGAACAACATCCGCCTCTTTGGCACTGGTCCAAGCTGAAATGTGATTAGTAACCAAAGGAGCTCTGATCAAACAGATTCATTTTGAATCCCATGTTGGTTTCATTGGCTCCTTTGACAAGAGAGATGTCTATCCCATCAGTTGAGAAGCACCCTCCCTCTCAATAGTATTTAGCAGGGCTTCATTCAGGTCCAAAGTCATTGTTTTTGATGCTATATGACTGCCCTTGTGTTCCCAGGGTGATGACAGACCATGGAGGTTTCTCGCAGCATCTGTTTGTGCCCGCAGATTTGCTTTGAGCTTAGGTTGGCCCAAGATCCACACCCACTCTTCTGTACATCCACTGCAATGCTACCTCCATTCTGTCCATATAGTACTTGGGTCCTGCTCCCATATGTATGACTTCCGGGGCCCCACTGCTTCCCATCCCAGCTACCCATAGCCTCCTTCCTACCATGGATAGCACTGGATGCCAACAGGGACCTACGCCTGTTGGGTCCTTTAAAGGTACATGCTGGAGCAGGAGTGGAGAAGACCACCCATGGTGATTTTATTGCAGTATGAGCCCAGTGCCATGGTGTGTGTGTGTGTCTGTCTGCATGTGTGTGCTTGGGTGTCTTCTGTTGTGTTAGAAGCATAGGCTTCCGTGTTATACCTACACTCTATCACCATGGCACTGGTCATGTGCCTGCTCCTGATGTGCACTGCTGTTTACTGGTGTTGCTTGGCAACAGTTGGTTCTTCCAACTGAAAGTTCCCCAGCTCTGCGGGAACTTGGCTGTGGTGACCTTCCTGGCTCCTCTAGCAGTGCTTGACTGGTTGGCGATTCTTTCCTAAGTGCCATTGTTGGGTGGTAGAGGCAACAAAAGTGCAGGGGTCGGGGGAGCAGAGGCCTCTCCAACGTCCTGGGTTTTGCCATGTGGAATGCTTATGGTTGGTCTCCCCTGGTCAACCCCCCCTCACTGAAGAGTACTCCCGTTGTTAGCCCTGTTGTCGACCCTAATATTAAGAGAAGCAGACCTGGGTATGGCAAAATCAAAGAAAAAGATCTCAAGAAGATCCACAGAGCTGCTCTCAAAGGCGATGTCTATGAAGTGGAGGAGCTTCTTATGCGGCGTAAACGTACCTTGAATAAGGTGGACGCGCAACGCAGGTACCAGGCACTTGGAGGCCAGCAGGGAGAAGGAGGGAGGTCCTGGGAGACACAACCTTTCTGGGATCATCCTGGGGGAGCCCTGGCCTCTTGTCACTGAGAGTGAGCACTGAGCCCTCTTTGCTGGCAAGGGGTCGCGGCCCCTGGTACTGGAGCATCAAGCTCCCAGCTAACTTGGTGTGCAGCAGAAACAGAGGGTGGCCGCTTTGGAGCTCACGCCAAATTAGCCCTGTGGTGGGCGTTTCGATAAGCGTGAAATGATGTAACTCAGGTCAGTAATGAGAAAAGAATCAAAATGGAGTATGTAGAGCATTTTCCTGCGCATGGACACACTCTTGTGTCCTCACGTTATGTACTGCAGAAAAGTGTAGGAGATGATAGATTCCCTAGTAGATCAACTCCTAGGCTGACAGTTGTTCAGAAATACCCCAACGCCCATTTTATATCAGTTGCCACCTCCTCACACATGTTCTTTCTGAGGAACCTGAGAAGGAAACTTTGAAGGGGGAAGATGGCTCTGGTTTCTTGAAGAGGAAGACTCTGTTTCTCAAAATGGCAACTGTTGCTAGATTCATCAGTTTTGCAAACCAAATCAAAGTATAAGATCTTGAAATGTTGAGCTACACTGATGTCCTTTATTTCCTCTATCTCAGAGAAAAACATATCTTCGTATTGCAGAGAATAGTTTTTAAAACAACAAGAATGAGACTAAAATGTCATTTGAAATGACACAGAGTAGCTTTTGGACATATCAGTCAGTGGCCAAAGGATAGCGGTGGAAATAATTAGGGTCCCAGGTCGGAAAAGGGACTGAAGTAAATTGGAATGAAATAACCTTTTCCATCCACACAGTTTGTGAGGATGAGCAGCGGTGGCACTTGTTGTTTAGAGTTTCACTTGCTCTCCCCTTTTCTAAGAGGCGATTTGCTGGTAAGTACCCCATCTTAAAAGCTGTGGTTCTCTTACACACCCATCATCTTCATTCTAAAACATCCTTGGCTATTTTTCCTCAGCACTTCTTAGAATATTAACCAGCTAGCAGGTGCTCATGGGATGGATTTTGTAACACAATTTCCTTGGGCTCATGGGAAGGTGCAGCCTCTTTCTTGTGCCTGGCTCCCCTGCTTGCTCTGCTGATGCTCGGCCTGCCTTGAGATAGCTGATCCCTGGGCTGCTCCTGTGTGCCCTCACTGGGGCCCTGTCAAGGATTTTTAATTAAATTATATACATACGCATATATACAGGTATATATTTTACTTTGTTGCTCATTTTTATATGATATTTGATTTCTCCTCTCAGATGTAATCCCCATAAATTTCCACCACCAATCACACGTGAACTGTCACCATAGTCTCTTGTTCTCTTGCTCCCGTTTGATCCCTCTCCCTCCCCTCCGTAGGTCTCTGACTTATAGTTTGTCTGCTACTTTTGTCTTTTTTCCCCCTGACCCCCTTCTTTAGTTTTCCCATATACCTGCTTTAAATGAAACCATCTGATATTTTTCTTTTTCCTTCTGACTAATTTCACTGAGCACCGTCCCTTTTAGCTCCATCCATGTTGCTGCAAAATGGCATGAGTTTGTCTTCCAGTGTTATGTTGAAGAGCAGTGGTGAGAGTGGACATCCTTGTCTTGTTCCAGGTCTTAAAGGAGAGGCTTTCAGCTTTTCACCATTGAGAATGATGTTAGCTGTGGAATTTTGTTGGATAGGATCAGTTAATCTTTGAGCATTTTGTGGAACTCTTTTGTGAATCCCTCTGGTCCCGGGCTCTTGTTTTTGGGGAGTGTTTTGATTATTGTTTCAGTTTCATTGTTTGTAATTGGTTTGTTTAGGTTTCCTATTTCTTCTTTCTCCAGCTTTGGCTGATGTATGATTCTAAGAATTTGTCCATATCTTCCAGGTTGTCAAACTTTTTTGTGTATAACTGTTCATAATAATCTCTGGTTATTGTCTGGCGCTCTACCATGTCTATTATTTTATCATTTATCTTCTTTTATTTGTGATCCTATTTATTTGGGATTCCTCCCTTTTTTCCTTTGTGAGCCTGGCTAAAGGTTTGTCTATTTTGTTTATTTTTTCAAAGGGCCTGTTTTTGGTTTCTTTGATATTTTGGACTGTCTTTTTCATTTGTATTTCTTTTATTTCTGCCTGAGGTTTTTTTTTTTTTTTTTTATTCCACTCTTCTACTGGTTTTGGGCTTTTTTTGTTGTTGTTTTTCTTTTTCTAAATCTTTGAGATGGGAGAATAGGTTGTTTCTTTCAGTTTTTTTTTTATTTCTTGATGTGAGCCTGTATTGCTATATACTTTCCTTTTTTGAGTGCTTTTGCTGCGTCCCATACATTCTGAATAGTGAGATCCTCATTGCCATTCAACTCAAAGTACTTTGTAATTTTTTCTTTGATCTCTTATTTAATCCTATGACCTTCTAGTAGTGTGGATTCAACCTTCACAAAGTTGGGTGGCTTCCTTGCTTTCTTTTCATCATTTATTTCTAGTTGATGCCTTTATGATCAGAGAAGATATTTGGAATTATTTTGATTTCCATGTATCTGTTGATGTTTGTATTGTGGCCCAATAAGTGATTGATTCTCAGGAAAGATCCTTGTGCACTTGAGAAAAATATGTACTGGGATTTTTTTTTTTTTTAAGATTTATTATTTATTTATTTATTTATTTATTTGTACAAGCACTGGGTACAGTCAGAAGCGCGGGAGGGTGAGAGAACTCACCAGAGCCAGAGCAGGGAGCAGAGCAGGCAGAAGGACCGAAGTACACTGCTGAGGGGAGCCGCGGGCGGCAGGAGAGGTCTGCATGCCATGCGGGACCCTCCTCCGGTGGCCGGGGAGCAGCCGGGGATCAAACCGGCGCAGCAGAGGCCGCGGGCAGCTTCCCAACCCAGCGCTCAACCGCTGCGCCACCGGGGAGGCCCTGTACTGGGATTTTTTAGGTGCAGTGACCTTTAGATGTCTGTTAAGCCAATGAAGTCTAGGTATTTATTAGGACTCTAGTGTCTTTGTTTATTTTTTGTCTCATTTATTTGCCCATTGGTATGAGTGGGGTGTTGGGTTCTCCTACTATAGATCTATTTTCTGTAATATCTGTTTTCAGAGCTAATAATTATTTTCATATATTTGGGTGCTCCTCCATTGGTGAGTATGTGTTGATGAATGATGTACTGCCCCTATAATCATAATGTAGTGTCCACATTTCTCTCTTTTTTAAAAAAGAAAAGATTTATTTATTCATGCAAACAAGAACTGAGGTGTGGTGGGAGGGGTAAGAGGATTCACCAGAGACAGAGGAGTAACAGGACACAGAAATACACTGTAGAAAAATACCAGATGGTCTCACTCATAGCAGGAATTTAGATAACCTTAATAAGAAACCAGGAAATAGACTAATCAATACAAAGTAAAAATCAAAATCAACAAACAATTATAAACCAGAGACACACTGTGGGGGTGGGGGTGGGGGGGTTGTCGGGCAGAGAAAGAAAGAAAGGAATACAGTCAAAATAAGGGGGGAGGTGCATTTGTATGGGGAATATAATCAAAATGAAAATGCATACATTGTGCAAAGATGAAAAAAGATGTAAGAATTATATTAAATAAAAAAAGCTGTAAAAATTAAATTTAAAAAAAAAGAAAGAAATACACTGCAGAGGGTAGCAGCAGGCGAGTCAGGAGAGGTCTGCTGTGCCATGTGAGTAGCACAGGGATCAAACTCGTGCTGCAGTGGCTGCGAATAGCTTCATAGTTTGTGTCTTAAGCCCTAGTGCCACCAGGGAGGACCGTCTTTGTGTAATTTTTTTACCTTTTTTAGCCTGAAGTCTATTTCATCTAATAGTAGGATAGCTGTTCTTGCCATCTTTCTTGGTCCATTTGCTTTTAGGATTGTTTTTGAAACATTTACTTTCAGTCTGTGTTCATCTTTTGTAGTTAAATGTGTTTCCTGAAGATAGCAGAAGGTTGGATTTTATGTTTTAATACAGCCAGCGACTCTGTGTCTTCTTATTGATGAGTTTAGTCCATTTACAATTAAAGTAAATACTGATATATTAGAGTCTGGATTTGCCATTTTTTGGTATTTTAATGATTTTTTTCCTTGCCTTATTCTTTTCTTCTTATTCATTCCTCTGTTGGTTTTGACTTTATGACTTTGTGTGGTAAATGATTTTCAGGCTTTTCAGCCCTCCCTTCATTAGGATTGCATGCCTGATGATGGTCACCTGCATTTTGTTACATTGTGATTATATTCAGTTGTATTGTTTAGTTCTGTGGGCCATGGCTGCAGTATTTAGATATTGGCCAAGAGAAGCAGAGGCAGGAGAGAGAAGAGGAGAGAGAACAGGAGACAGAGTGCCAGAGAGCCCAGTAGAGTGAAGATTCCCCCGGGGCTCAGAGCCCCACCCACCCACCGGGACCCCCCTCCTGCCATGTACTTGGTTGCTGCACTACATGTAAAAGCTCAATAAAAGCCAGAGAAAGCCACTGTGGGCTCCAGGACTCCTCCTCTACTGGGCTGTGTGGGTCATAAAGAACCAGCTCTGGGCCTTCCTGGCACTACGGAGTTCTTTTTTTTTTAAATTTAAATATTGTATTTTATATAATTCTTACATCTTTTTTCATCATTGTACAATGTATGCATTTTCATTTTGGTTATATTCACCATACAATTGCACCCCATCCCTTATTTTGACTCTAGTCCTTCCTTTCCCCACCCCTCCTTACCCCCCCCCCACGCCCCGAGTTTGTCTCTGGTTTATAGTTGCTTGTTGATTTTGATTTTTTTTTTTTTACTTTGTATTGATTAGTCTTTTTCCTGGTGTACCATGTGAGTAGCACCCTGGCAGGCCAGGGATCAAACTCGTGCTGCAGTGGCTCTTTTTAGGTTTTCTAAATTCCTGCTTTGAGTGAGACCATCCAGTATTTTTCTTTTTCTTTCTGACTTATTTCACTGAGCATGATACCTTCTAGCTCCATCCATGTTGCTGTAAACTGC